CCAGAGGGAATAAAACAGAACACTGAATGACAGACAGAGAGATCATAATCAGAACTTACTGCAACTTGGTGGCTGACATCCAAAAGTATAAAGGGAAAGCTTGATTGGAGATGCCGGACTTGGAGGTCCACTGTGGTCCTGAAAGGATCCCAGCTGTCTAATCCTTCTCAATTCTTCCAAGTCGAAGGAGATTAAAACAGTATTTATTTCACTTTTCCTTCTCAGATGACACTGTCAGCACTTTTTTTTTGCTTCCTTAAAAATAAAATCCAGACTTCAACCTCGAGACTCAAACCATAAAAGTAGCAAAGTCTGTTCTGTCGTCATGCAGACGCTGATGCTGGTCTTATCAATTCATCTCTTTAACAGCCCCCCCCATCGGTCCCCGGTCACCTGACTTATATTTTAGAAAGTTCTTTATTTAAATGGCCAAGAAGAGTTTAATCTCCGTGTGTCTTACGGACTCTCTCTGAGTCTGTTGAACACCGCTGAACACAAAGATATTCCCTCATTTTAAAGTCTTTTTACGCACAACCAACTCTGCGCTGTTATATCCGAGCTGCCTGGTGACGTGAAGACTCAGACGCAGAGGACGGAGCTCCTGTTGGAGGACACATTAGTGCAGCAGTTCATTTGGACGTTTTTTTTTTGTGTCGCTGTTTTATTTGAAGTTGGAATCTTTCAGCTGCACCCGATGAGCCGTGCTGCCTCGCCAGACGTAACTGTTGCAGATTCACTAAATAGACAGACTTTCTTTTTTTCATTATTATTATTTCATCCCCCGCCGCCGCCTTCACCGCTCTGTAGCAGGATTTTCCCATCCATAGCTAAGGGAGGCGTGCTCCATTGTGCAGCTTCTAATGATGATTGTAATGATGGCTTGTCCATCTTTGATAAGAAACAGCTCGCCCCTCATTAAAGGGCCCGGGGCCCCGGTTCTCATGGCCGCCGGTCCCCCTTTTTACCCCGGAGTCGGACAGCAGGCGAAGGGGAGGCGAGACGACACCCGCGGCACACGCCTGTTGACCGAGCCACAAAGCAAAAGCGTGTGACACTCGCCCCACCCCCGCCGGTCCCATTGTCCTCCCCGTGGGTCCCACAGACAAGACCAATCCTGTTACCCTCCCACCCCTCACTCACCCCCCTCCTCCTCGCAACCACAAAAACCACAGCACTCGCTTTGCAGCTCAACACACACACACACACACACACACACACACACACACACACACACACA